GAGAGTCGACAGGTCGTCAGGGAGGTAGCAGGTGCGAGGACGGGAGGAGGGAGAGTGGGGGGGCAGATGTCAGCTTAGATTCGACGCTTCCATGCAAAAAAAAGACACACGCGGAGGGTTGTGTGGGTAGCGAAAGGGGCACGAAACGGCACGAACGGCACGAAAGCAAATTCCATCTGTCCCCCCCTCCCCCCCGGCTTTGATGAACAGGATCCCTAGAGCAACTTGTAGCTCTGTCTCCTGAGCAATTTTTTGCCTCGTTCAACTTGCGCTGACCCCCACCACCACTTCTCCCTGTTCTCACAAGCAGCGAAAAAGCAAAGGCATGCGCCTCTCTCTCTCTCTCTCTCTCTCTCTCTCTCTCTCTCTCTCTCTCTCTCTCTCTCTCTCTCTCTCTCTCTCTCTCTCTCTCTCTCTCTCTCTCGACTGACCCACCCACCCTTCACACCTACCCCTTCGCTCGTCATCTCCCTCTTCCCTCTCTCTCCTCGCTGCTATTGCAACGCCACGTCTCCCCCCATGCCTCGACTCACCCGTGCCAAAGTCCCAACTCTCCTCTTCACCCTCTACGTTTGCGCCTCTAGGGCTCGTATCCGGAAAGACCAGCGCCACCTGTTCCATCCCCGCCGCGTTAAGGGCGCCCATTTTCTGTGCGCCATTGTCCTCTGTGCACGTGAGGCCGGCGAGATAGTAGAGCATCGGCGCCTTGGTGGGGGAAGAGGAGAGGGAAGAGGAGGGGAGGAAGAGGTTGAAGGACGTAGAGAGATTGCCGAGAGAGGCAGAGAGGAAGCTGTACTTGCGCAGCTCGCCGCCCGCCGCCTTGTTGCTGGACTGTAGCTCGAGGGACATTTGCTGGGCAGTAGATGCTGCGTTAGCGGAGAGGAAGCGAGAGTTTGCGAGGATGACGGAAGCGCGATGAGAGGCGACTTACATGTAAATGGACGGTGGGTGTGAGGCGAGGTGGTGGTGGGAGAGAAAGAAGCAAGGCGCTGCACAAGCGGAGCCTGCACTTGACTCTTTGAGCGGGCACGACGCACGAGCCAGCCAGCCAGCCAGCTCGAAGTCGGCGGGGCTTGAGGCGAGATCGACTCCAAGTGGAGGCCGCGCGCTTGCCCGTCCATCCAATTGCAAGGGCCACGTGGCATGCTCGCCGCCTCGAGCGCCGGCGCATAGGTCGGCCTCTTCCTCGGCCCGATGTGCGTGCCGTGCGCGTCCCAGAAGATGCAGCCAAGGCGCGCGAGAGCGAGAGCCGCTTGAAGTTGCGCTGGCCAAGCCTAAGGTCGATGGCCGCGCTTGCATATCGACGCTCTCCAGCACGCAGTCCCTCACCTGCTTCTCTCTCTTTCCCCCCTCCCCCTCATCCGCCGCCCGCCTCACCCGCCTCACCCGCCTCACCCGCCTCCCCAGCTGCCTGCGCGCCCGCAAAATGCTGCCTCCTCCTCGCGCCGCCACGCAAGCGCTGCACGCCGACAGCGTACGTCTCTCCTCTCTCCTTGCACCTCTCTCTCTCTCTCTCTGACTTCATTTCTCTTCCTAGCCCTCTCCCATCTCCCACCCAAACGCACCCCTCACTCCCTCCCTCTCCCTCTCCTCCACGTTTCGCACGCCCCATCCCGCCGGTGCGGCAGGTGGCGATCTGGCCGCGCTGCTGCAGCAGTCGGGCCTGCAAGACCCCGCGGCTCATGTCTACTCGCGCTACACCGACGAGACGCGCTGTCGCCTGGAAGCGGTGCTTTGCAAGCTGCTGGGCGGCGAGGCCATCACTTATTCCTCTGGGTCAGTGTTGCGTCGCGTGTGTTTCCCAAGCGGGGCTGCAAACAGTGTGGCGCCCTCAAGTTGCGGGTTTGGCAGTGCCGGGCAGGTGTGACGCT